TTAGATTTGGGTTTGATACAAAGAGTAGATACCATAGATTTAAATATAACAAAAAATGACTTTATTAAACAAAATATTAATGTAATCACTGGATTAGGTAAATGTCCTCAAAAATGTAAACTAAAACTCAAAGAGAATTGTGTTCCTGTGGCTAAGCCCCCACGAAGGGTCCCTTTAGCCATTAAAGAGAGATTAAAAAATCAACTGTTAGATTTAGAGAAACGTGGCATTATATCTAAATGTGAGGGTCCTACAGAGTGGTTGAGCAATTTGGTTATAGTTGAAAAACCTGATAAAACATTAAGAATTTGTTTAGATCCTAGAGATTTAAACAAAGCACTTAAAAAGGAATATTGTTTAATACCTACTATTGAAGAGATATGCAGTAAGTTAAAAAACAAATGTTATTTTTCTAATTTGGACTTTAAAGAGGGATTCTATCAAGTTCAACTTGATGAGAGGTCCAGTAGAGTTTGTGCATTTGGAACTCCTTTTGAAATTTGGAAATTTGATAGACTTCCATTTGGACTAAATATTGCTCCTGAATTTTTTCAAAGAATTAACTTAGAAAACTTTGGTGATATTGAGGGATGTCTCATCTATTTTGATGATCTTTTGATATTTGCAGGTAGTCTTAAAGAACATGATAGAATCCTTAATAAAGTATTAGAACGTGCTAGAAATATTGGAGTAAAATTTAATCCCAATAAGATACAGTATAGAATGCCGGAAGTAAAATATTTGGGAAATACATTTGATAAAGATGATGATAGATAATGTTAAAGCTATTATAAATTTAAAAGAACCCAATAATAAAAAAGAGTTACAAAGAATACTGGGCATGATCAATTACCATCGCAATTTTATACCAAATGTATCGGATGTATCAGCCCCACTAAGAGAATTGTTGAAAAAGGATACAGTTTGGATGTGGACTAGAAGTCACATAAACTCATTTAATTTAATAAAAAAGTTAATTTGCTCACCACCAGTTCTTGCAAATTTTGATGAAAATATTCCAATAATCATTCAAACAGATTCAAGTCAAAATGGTGTTGGATGTGTATTATTACAAAATCTTAAACCTGTATCTTTTGCTTCTAGATCTTTAACCAATTGTGAAACCAGATTTAGCCAGATTGAAAAGGAACTAAATGCAATCCTATTTTCTTGTAATAAATTTCATAATTATATTTATGGTAGAGAAGTTAAGGTTTTCACAGATCATAAGCCATTGATTTCGATAATGAAGAAAGGCATAGCAGAAGTAGACTCTCCTACACTACAACGTATGAAGGTGAAATTATTAAAATATAACTTAACTGTAGAATATAAGCCAGGCAAGGAAATGCTTATAGCTGATTTGTTGTCTCGAAACTTTTTGAAGGAAAAGGTAGAGGATGATGCATTTGTAACGGAAATAGTGCATACATTAAATATAACAGAAGAAAGGAGAGAGGAATTTATAGCTGAAACTAAACAGGATAAGAAGCTTCAAATAATTAGAGATTTTTGTGAAAAAGGGTGGCCGTCATGTGCATCGAGGGTACCTTACATAGTCAAAGATTATTTTAATATTAGGCATGATGTTTACTCATTAAATGATTTGATGTTTTATAAGGACAGAGTCATAGTTCCGGATTCTTTGCGGCATAGGATGTTAAAGCTGCTTCATGAAACACACTTTGGGGTTACAAAAACACAGCAAAGAGCGAGACAGGTATTATTCTGGCCAAATATGAATAAGAACATAGTGGATTTGGTTAGAAATTGTGTTGAGTGTGAGAAATATCAGAGAAATAATGTTAAAGAGCCATTAGTACTAAGAGAAATTCCAGAACTGCCATTTCAAATGCTAGCAGCTGATATTTGTGAATTTGGAGGAACATCTTATTTAATTGTAATGGATTATCTCACAAAGTGGATTGAAATTGTTCCGTTGCAGTCCAAAACATCCCAGTCAATAATAAATTCGTTTAAGACGATGTTTGCCACTCATGGGATTCCTTTGGAAGTTGTATCTGATAATATGCCTTTTGGCTCTAAGGAATGTCGAGAATTTTCTAAGGAATGGAACTTTAAATTTGTGACATCTAGTCCTAGATATCCTAGAGCAAATGGTCAGGCAGAACGAGCCGTCCAGATAGCTAAAAATATTTTCAGGAAGTGTAAAGATCTTCAGTTAGCTTTATTAGAATATAGAAATACACCACTATTAGGATCAGACAAGTCCCCAGCACAACTCTTGAATAGTCGTAGACTTAGAGGCAAACTTCCAGTTTTACAAGAGAAATATTTACCAGAACAGGTAGACCTAAAAAATGAAAAGAATAAATTGGATAATAAAAGAAAATTGTACAAGCACTACTATGATAGAAATACAGCTACAAAAGAAGCATTAAGTGTAGGGGATAATGTGGTTATAAGAGAAGATGGGCAATGGAAACCTGCTGTGGTTAGACGAGGTTTACAAGAGCCAAGATCATATGTTGTTGAGAAAGAAAATGGAACACTTGTAAGAAGAAATAGCTATCACTTGAGACCATCTAATAATATGCCTAAACATCATATTAACCTAGCAGATGATTTTGATCACAATGAGAATGGCAGACCTTCAACATCAATGGCCCGTGAGAGTGAAATATCGAATCAGTTTCCTACCAGAAGTAAAAGATTAATTAAACCCCCATCTAGATATAATGATTTTGAAATGTACTAGTTTTGCAATCAGTATTGTTATTAGTTTTTATTTTAGAATGTTTTTATTCTTAGTTGATTGTTGTAATGTCTGTATATTATAGGAAGGGAAAGATGTCATGAGACTGAATAGCTTGTAAATGTAAAGTCCTGACAGGACTATGACATGGGACAGGCGGCACGTGGTCTCGGGGCAGAGGTTAGGTTAAGCACTTGAGATTAGGAGGTTAGGATGACACTGTAATCGGTAACACTGAAAGTAATATTAATAAATATGTACAACAGTCCGTGTTAAACATTATTACAACGATAACCTTGCAACAATTTGTTGTAAGATTGCTGATTACCTAGGGAGCTGCTAAGAATAGATAATATAGGCTACAAGGAACCAGGATTTGGAGCACTCATCATCAGAGAGAGATAGTTTTGTTTTCCTGTAGTTTTTCTTTTATTGATAACACAATTTTTACAATTACTTTAGAAAAGATATAAATATTTTGATTAGGAGATTTAGAATAATAATTGGGATTTTGAGATTTTAACTTATATTGTTTGTACCATTAATTTTGAAGGTTCACGTACGTAGAACAAAATTTTGAGAATCATTATATGAGATATTGTTTATTGAATATTTGAACATTGAACATTGAAACATTTGAGTGTGAACTTTAATTCATTATTTTTTTTTAATGTATAGTGTTATATCATATATGTTTTTTCTATTATTCCGGTATTCTTTGGACATTACCTATCACATGTAAAGCATAGATATTGAAGCACGAATATAACCCTGAGATAAGAGAATTAAAAAGTGTGATAGAATCATAATCGTATCATTTAAATAACTTTAATTAATTAATTAGTTAATTGCTTGGCGCACTAAGACTTTGAATATCACAATAATATATATATATATATATATATATATAGAGTGTGTATAACGACGCTAAGAATACAATTCTTTGGAGGGTAACTTTCGGGAAAGCGTCAAAACAAGGATCAGCTAGAGATGGTATAAGCCAGCTTGGTGTAGAACTTTATTCTAAATGTGAAATTTTCGGTGATATGTTGTCACCTTCATCAGCACATTGAAAATGTTCAGTTGGTCCTAGTTGTAAAGAACACTGTCACAAACATGTTAAAAATATTAAAAAATACATTTAAAATTTTGAATAAAAACATTACAACACAAACAGGGTAGTTTTTCAAATACAAACACAACAAAAAGTCTAAAATTTACAACATACCACGGTATGTTGTTACAACATACACGTGGTATGTTGTAAATTTTAGACTTTTTGTTGTGTTTGTATTTGAAAAACTACCCTGTTGTGTTGTAATGTTTTTATTCAAAATTTTAAATGTATTTTTTAATATTTTTAACATGTTTGTGACAGTGTACTTTACAACTAGGACCAACTGAACATTTTCAATGTGCTGATGAAGGTGACAACATATCACCGAAAATTTCACATTTAGAATAAAGTTCTACACCAAGCTGGCTTATACCATCTCTAGCTGATCCTTGTTTTGACGCTTTCCCGAAAGTTACCCTCCAAAGAATTATATATATATATATATATATATATATATATAATATATATATATATATATATATATATATATATATATATATATATATATATATATTTATGTATATAAATTTCCAATGTTTTTGAGAAACGTAATGGCCAAAAAGGTACGCTATTATTAATTTTTCTTATAAGTTTGTAAAGTAAATCTGAAACACAGTACAGTTCTAGATATGAAAAATAAAATAGTCCATATATGACCAGTTTATAAGTAATAATCACAGCAAATTTTTGCAAAATGTGTAATGTTACCAAAACAAAAAATTACCATACAATAATATTTTGGAATCTATTTAATTCAAAATGTATTTACCAAGTACCTGTTTATTTTTATTCAATACATACAAAGAACGTCTATCCTAATATACATTTTTTTGTTGATTTATGTGTATTTTAACTTATTTTAAAGTTGTCAGTCTAATTGTGAAAGTTTATTACTAATGTTTGTTTTATTTTTCTGTATGAATAGTTTCACCTCCGTAGGTAAATATTTATGTAATTTTATTTTAATGTTGCTTATCTCCTTGTTTTAATAACTTTGTCATGTACTTTTAATAAAGACAACAATAATCAGTTGACGAACTATTAAATTACAAGAAAATATAATTGTTTTCGATCGTAGATACCAAAAAAAAAAAATTTAACTTAAAATACTGTAATAGGTACATATATTTATATTCCGTTCCCTTTAAAACCAGTTTTTTATTACAGATCGACATTAAGGGTACGTGGTTCAGCGGTCATAGCCTTAACGCTGCTGCCTCCTATCAAGACTATAGTGGACCTCTATTCTCCTCTCATCATGTAAAGCTTCTCCTGATGTCCCCACATTTTAAAGATATCACTGCGGACATGCAATTTTATCGGGACAATGATGCATTGAAGTTCGACATCAAGGTAAGCATAGTCGCATATATATCAATGTTAATGGGGTCAAAACGATTATTTTCGGGTTTTAGAAAATCCCAAATAGAGATAAAGTAGGTATATAATATACAAGGGAAAAAGTATTAGATTTTAGTTCAAGGTTGTATTGGCTCGGATAAAGTTTCTTTTAATAGCCAAGGTTGTTGTTGTATTTGGGATTACAGCAGTTTGTCGAATTTGTGAAATCAGCTAGGTAGCATTCGTTAATATTCAAGATTCGTAAACGACATTAATTATGAAGCTTTAGTTAATTCTTCTCTAAGTACAACCCTATCAAACCAAACACATAAGAATTCATCACCGTGAAGTCTGCTTACATATATCGAAGGAAACTCTTTAACAGTCCATGGTCCTAAAATATTTGGTACTGTACCCGCAGGGGAAAAAATTTAATAAGCTTTCCCCCAACAATTGGTGGAGATCGGAACAAAATTCCATCATTGTTTTTGGTCCTTAACTCGACGGATTTTGTGTTTTGGTTTCGATAGTACTTTACTCTCAGTTTAGCATATTTATATGAATAAGGTTAAAAGGCTCTCGAAAAGACTTTAATGTGTGTAATGTGACTACTGGACAAATTGGGTGAGATTTCTTCATATTATAACTTCGCTTATACACAGGGTGAACCGCTTTTCAAAAACACTATCTCTCTAAAAAAATTATTTGTAGATTTTTATCTGGTGTGAGAAAAATTTGAATGCAAAATAAACTCTCAGTGTGATTTAAGACTTTTAATGTGTTCTAATAAACTATAAACTTTCTCGCCTTGTGCTAGAACATGCTAATTAAATTGTTTGATTCTAAATACCACATAAACCTATTGTTTATTATCTTTTCTAATATTTTACCTATGCTAGATAATGAGTGATATCGGTCGATATGTTTGTAGATCTGATTTTGGCTTAGTTGGTTTTATAATAGGTATTATGATTGAATTTTTCCATGATTTAGGAAATACGTTTCTGGATAGGATTATATTGTAAATATTGAGTAGATGTTTTTTAGATTGAGGGCCTCAATTGTTTAGAAATATAAACGGTATATTGTCGGGTCCAGGACAAGTGTTTTTACAATTCTGAAATACATTTTCTAATTCTTCCTCTGGTATTGGTATATTTAGATCGTTATTATTTTGATCGTAATATTCTATAGGATTTTTTTCTTCTTTTATTTTGATTTTTAAGAAATTGGAAGTATAATTTAAGTTACTTGAGTTATATTTATAAGTAGATGCTAGTATATTGGATATTTCTTTTGGGCTTTTATAAATGGTGTTATTTTGAGTTAGAAAGTTGATTGATTTATGGGGTTTGGAATTAGACGTTTTGTTGACTTTTTTCCATATAGGTGTTATAGGACTTGAACTATGTATTGTGGTGACATATTCTCTCCAAGAGTCACGTTTGGCTTTTTTAATAGTATAACTAGCGACTGTTCTAAATTTTTTTAATTCTATTGGATTTTTTTGAGTTTTATGTCGGTTGAATTTATTAAAAGCTTGTTTCGATTGCTTTAATGCTTATTTGCAGTCATGATTCCACCAAGGTACCGACTAATGTTTGTGATCGTACTTAATTATTCCAACCTACTTTTTTGCTGATTCTGTGATTACGTTTGTCAGAGATTATATTGTTTTGTCTATATCTACATTGTCATTTAGGTTTTGCAGATTGTTTTCAACGTAATTTTGCGTAAATTCTGTCCAATTTGCGCCTTTTAAATTCCATTTTAGTTGTTGCGTGGTAGTTGATTGCAGTTCATTGCTTATTATGATAGGGTAGTGACCACTATCATATAGATCTGGTAACACATCCCACGTAAAAGTATGTGTAATTGATGGTTCACAAATACATAGATCTATACTAGAGCCTTCACTTGTTCTTATGTCAAAGCGCGTATGTTGTCCGTCGTTAAGGATATTTAGGTTGACTTCTTCTATTATTTTTTCTATTTTTCGACCGAGAGATGTTAGTTTTGCTGAACCCCATAACGGATTATGTGCATTGAAATCTCCAATTATTATCCGTGGAGTAAGTAGTTGATTTAATAGGTTTGAAATTTCATTTGAATCGGGTTTTTTATTGGGGGGAATGTAAATATTGCAAATTGAAGATTGTGTCCAATTGATAATTCCAACAGAGAACATACGAACACAGAGAAGCGACACGAGGCCCGGAATTCGTGTCTCTTTTCTGTATACGCATGACCCAAATAAGGTGCTTTACTGTCAAAAACACGTGCGTTTTCTTCAACTTTAAGTTGCTTACGATAGTCCGTAGGCATCTGTGGTAAACTCTCGACTATACAAGTCTGATACAAGTGCATTTGACCATTTATCTAATTATTTAGTAGTTAAAAGTTTATAGTTATAGTTATAGTTAAAATATATAAGTTAAATATATAAGTTTATAGTTATAGTTTATAGTTAAAAGTTTAATTTATAAGTATTTAAAATGTCTTCTGGTTATTGTTGTGCGTTTCGCGGATGTTCATCTGTGACAGGAAAAGGAATAAGTTTATTTAGATTTCCTAAGAATAATAACAGGTAATTACTATTGCTTTGTAATTATTATTAGTTATTACATAATAGTATTAATTTGACTTTGAGTAAGCCGACACCGACGTGTCCGCCCGAGCTCTCGTAAAGTGAAGCAATAAAAAAATAAATTTTGGTTTGCCAAGGGATAGTTCAGAATAAAAACCAGAGAACTACGAACACACATTAAATTTATTGTCTCCGAAGGCTCAGGTCAAAAAATCAACACAGATGTTGGCCTACTGGTGTGAAAGCGCTCGCAGACAACAATACGAATATAGTATTTTTAGGAAATAAAAATATATAGAGGGTTTTATACACGAGAATATTTGATTTAAACGAAACAAAGAAATTCCTAAAATGCTCAAACTAAAAATTGTTGGAAACATAATTAGATCGAAAATTGGGAAAATCTTAAAATTATAACAGAACAAGACTTCAAAATAAAAACATGATTGCAAATAAACAAACTTACATTAACATAACTTCAAATATTTGCTGTCTTTTTCACCAAACAAACTTACATTAAATTATGAAAAAACTAAATGCTCATCTACTTTTTGCTATATACAAAAGTTGTCTGTCAATGTTTAATTCGTTAAATATAAATAACAAAGATCAAATATATGGATCGGAGTACACAACATATTTAGGGAATAAATATTTAAATGGGAATTACAAATAAAAAATATTAAAACTTTATTTATTGTATATCTCAATATTTAGTGACAATTTTGAGACTTAATTAGGAGAAAACTGTAAATTTATTAAGATGAGATATTGACAAAAGTTAAATACTTCATTACTTACAATACACTTAGAATATACTAATACTCTTATAGTTGTAAGTAATGAAGTATTATTTATAAATACAAAAAATTCTTTGTTTAAAATTTGTTCTGTTAAAAATTTGTAGTGCCAAAATGTGGATAGAAGCTTGCAGACGAGAAGATTTATTGTTAAAAATGGATATACTTTATAATAGTTATAGGATTTGTGAACTACATTGTGAAGATAATCTTATTGTCAAAAAAAAAATAATATAATAAATAATATAATAAAAAATAGTATAATAAAAAATAAATTATATCTTGTATCAACACAAGCCAAAAAGATTCGGCGTATTATTGTATTATCAATGTCAACATCAGAATAAACAAAAAAGTATTTTCATCTATGGTTCCATCAATACGATTTTCACCATTACTTTGCGTTGTGCGATGTATTTGCAACCTTTTGTAAATCAAAAATAATTACACCATTTAGAATATCAACAAAAGCCGGCCCTGCATGTAATTATTTTTTCAGTGCAATATTTCATATTTATTGAAAGTCAACATAAATGCTCAATTTTATTTAAGAATTTATATTGTGTAATATGCCCACTGACTATTAAAAAATAAGGTGCTTTCCTGTCATTTTCACTCGTTGGCGGCTTGCCCACGCAAGATCAAAGGAGTGTCGCTTCTCTGCGTTCGTAGTTCTCTGATTCCAATTGCTTCAATAGTTGTTGTGAGTTTTATTGGTTTAGCGTCAAAGCTATCTTTTATGCAGATTGCTACCCCTTCACTTACAATTTTCGAATTTTCTCGATTTCTAAAGAAACAATTGTAATTCTTTAAGGCATGAGCTTTGTTGTTTTTGAAGTTGGTTTCTTGTAAACATATCATACTTTTATGTTTTGAAATTATTAATTTTAACATTTCTTAATGCGTATAATACCCATTTATATTCCATTGAATTAGAGAGTTGAAAATGGTGTGTTATTAATTTTCTGTTGATGCGTCGCTTTCTAAGTCTGTTTGAAGGTCTAAGTTGATTTGCTGTAATATTTTATTTTTTATTCGAGTGCATTTGACTTTAATTTTTCGGTCCTTCAGGTAAGGGTATATATTAGTTAATAGATCTGTGACCTCTGCTGTTTCTTCTGTATACATTTTGGAGATACTTAACGGATCTGGTGAGTTCTCACAGTTTTCAAAAAAGTCTAATAACTGTTCGTAAGTTATAGGGTAGTTGGAATTTGGGTTATCAAATAAAGTTTTACAGTATTTTATCATTTCTTCTAGTGTTTTTTGTAATTTGACATTTTGATCTGATTTTACCTTCTTCTCTTTGTTTTTTTGTGTAATAAAAGTAGGTTCCTCTGTAGATGTAGTAGCTGGCGGAGAGATTTGGGAGATTGTGCGTTTGTTTTGTACTTTGCCTATATTTATATGCGTTGACTTATTTTCTAGATCTATTTTTCGGCAGATTGTTGTTTCTGAATCGTCTTCGGCTGCATGTGTGGTTTTTCTTGTTGGGTAGTTTGTGGTTGGGTTTCTTGTTGTATGGTTTCTCCTTTTGATTGTTGTTGTTTAGTGTATGCTGGGTTTTTTGAGTTGATAGATTAGTTGTATTTTCAATTGGGTCTACATTTGGAACTGGATTATTTGATGCTGAATTATCTGTTGTAATTGCAGTAGACATTGGGCAATTTTTTGTTAAGTGGTTGGTTTGTTTACATATTTGGCAAGCTTGGTTATCTAATGATAGGAAAATCCTGTATGTCGTTTCCTCATATGTGATAAGAAAAGAATCAGGTAAGGGCTGGTTATTTAGTGGAGATATGTATGTTTGGCGCCTGAAACTCAAAATATGCTGGAATTGTGGTGTTGATGTGCCTATTCTTAAGAATGTTATAGGTGACAGAAGATTTAATCCATGTGATTTTAATGCTGATATTAGGACTGAGTGTGGGATTGAGGGACAGACATTGGACAATACTAATCGCTGACTGGGGCTAATTAGTCTACGAGCTTGTAAGAGTTGTTGGTTTATTTGAATTTTTTCATTTCTGTTTATAAAATCCTCAGCTTGTTTTTTTGTTAGCTAAATAAATACATAAGTACTCGATTATTTAAAAATTTTGAACAGAAGATGATCTAGGTTGGTTGTATCAGACGACTCAGAGCGGACAAGTAATCATCTAGTTTGGTATTTTCAATTGCATCAAAAATAATTGCTTGTTTTCTTGATGGAAATGTATTGGATTGTGGTTTTTGATTTGTTACGGAAGAATATGTAGGTGATCCATTAAATTGATATGATGAGGAGCTGTTTGATGTATTATTATTTGTAGGAATTTCAGATTGAATAAAACTATCCATTTTTAATTAACATTTATAACTGGTCCTGGCAAACAACCTTCTTAGTCCTAGATTTTGTAGGTTATCCGAAATAATATTTAATAATCGTGATAATAGTAAAAACTGTTATAATTAAAGTAACGTACTATCTTTGTTGTATTTATTTTTGTTATTTCACTGCTGGATCACTAATTAACGAAAATATTTTTAGTTTTTCATAGTTTTTAAATTAATTTTAAAAGCTCGATTTTAAAATAGGCATTAGCTACTATGTTCAGAGTCGAATCCGAAGAATATATTAAATTTTACTAAACGTACATAGTCCTTTGTTCAGAAGCAGCAAAGAATCGTCACGTGTTTTATGAATATGGCAATGGAAAACGAGTTAACTAGGTTTTGGCTCCAAATCATTTTTATAAAGGGCCTGAAACAGTAGCTTATTTTCGTCAATTTGTAAATGCTCACTCATGTACATGTTATCAATTTCAAAGATCATTAGGAACATTTTTAGTTGACCCTGGAGAAACGTGATATAAAAGGAACATGGTCTTTTCAATTCGTCAATAGCCGATGAATGATACTAATAAAGTGGAGACCTAACTAATAAAGTGCTAACAACGTGTGAAAATGCTGAAATAAAACCCGAATTGGGACCAGATATATCAACGGTAGTTATGTCCATAACAGAAACAAGTATAATTTAAATACATTTAAAAATATAGGAAAAAACTGTTGTACCTAAAAGTTCAAGGAAAATGTGTGTTCCCTCCCTCCACACATATTCAATTAATTATTTTATATTAAGTATTTTATTATTTTCTTTTACACGTAATTTCTTAATTAACGTGTGTGTATGTCTTTACGTACGTAAACTAATACGGTAGTGTAGAAATGTCCCGCCATTAAGAGAGGCGAAGAAAATTCGGCATGCACAAGCATAGCTTAGTATTATACAGATAGAACGAATTTAAAACGGAACATACAATTTAATATATGTCTGTTTGAACTGCATTTGAAATAGTGGACCAATATAAAACTTGGACAAAAATAAATCCATACCTGGGTGCCTCGCAACAATGTTGTTTGTGTAACAATGTTGCTTGTCTAAGGAAGTTTTTAATAGTTCAGGAAATGAAGCTCGAAAAAAGTTAAAACCCAATTTTTTCGTCCTGCATGAATTAAGTTGAAATTTTAACAGAAGGTAGGTGATAGCCCAAGGATCAAAATCTATATCGAACCGAAGTGCGCTGAATCATAAATAATGATTATTTTATACTTTTGAATAGAGTTCCATAATATTTCAACCCTTAAAAAGCAACCCTCGTTAGAGATTAATGTAAAAAATTCGGATAAAAATTTGGATTTAAGCTCAATTTACCCGCTTCTTTATAGTTTATGTCATGTAGACGAACCCTGATTGTTCTTAGGGGTGAAAACTAGCCCTAATTGTTAAAAATTATAAAATAACATATTAAACCTGAATATGGGTAAAATTTGATTTAAATTAATTAAATAATGATAGTTTTGTGCTTTTGAATAGAGTTCCATCATATTTCAACCCTTAAAAAGCGACCCTTGTTAGAGATTAATGTAAAAAAATTAGTAATGCGAAGAAAATGATTTCGCCTTGGAACGATTTGCATACAAAATTAAAATTAAGCTTAACTCACCCTCTACTTTATAGTTTATGTCATGCCGATGAACTCTGATTGTTATTAGGGGTAAAAACTACCCCTAATTTTCAAAAATTGTAAAATAACATTACAAATCTTAAGATGAGTGAAATTTGGTTTGGATTAGTTAAATAGTGATTTTTTTATACTTTAAAATACAATTTCATACATTTTCAACCCTTAAAAATCAATTGTTATGAGTGCTATAGGTAAAAACAATTTTTTGCCAATATTTTGCAACTTTTCAACTTTTGAAAATCACCCTTTACAACATTGCTGTTGTAAAGGGTGCAGTTTATAAACTAATTTAATAGATATAAATTGAAAAAAGTAGAATTAAATACAAAAAAATTTATCAACATAAAAAGGCACCATATATTCTTATACATTTACATAAATAGTTGAAAATATTTACATTTATAGGTAAAACAATTATAATAGATATTAATTTTATTCTTATTTTATTATCTATTTATTATTATTGGTGGACTATTATTGCACCCTTCACCTGAGCACCCAGAACAAGTAAAGTTACAGTATAAAACAACATGCACCCACATGAAACGCCGCATCCTTTTTTGCATTGGCAAAAAATAATTTTTAAAAGTTCATCGGGTGCAGGTTGTTTGTTCATGCGTACGGGTAATAACAAACCATCTTTGGAATACCATCCCCAGTCTGTTGCTCTGATATTTTCATTGCCAAGCCATAAACATATGAACAAATGTTTTATTCTGTTGTATGGGATTTCAAAATAAGAACGCTTAAAATTTCGAATGTATAACGCCCCACTACCTAATATACCGGTTTTGTAGATTATTATGCTCCAAAATGTACTGTACTATACTAATGGAATTTTCCGAAAAAAAAATTAATTGGTTTTTTAACGTATTTCCTTCATTTTTAACGATAGAGTGTTTCCTCAAAAACGATTTTGTAGAGGTTTTTAAGAGCTACAAGGATCTGTGAATTAAATCTCTTTGAAACCCTTGGTTTTTAAATGGGGTGAGTTTAAAGGGCTCGAAAAAGATGGTGCTTGATCGTAAATCGATGCTTTAAACGGCTATATCTCGCCAAGTATTCATTAAACAACAAATCTAAATAAAGGAAAATTTTAGTCATTAAAAAAGCTACAATTTAGTACATTTTTATTTCTTTCATATATTCAGTATTTTCGGGGATATTTAAAAAAAGAAGGGTAAAAAATATGAAATTGTAAATCGTTTCTCGCTTTAAGCTGTACTTTTTCTAAAACTAAGCATTTTAAATGGGTCAAACTTCTTGGACGTATTAACAATACATGTACAAAGAGAATTGCAGAAGGGTGAAGAACGATTTTAAACTATGGGAGTGGTTAGGGGGTAGTTTTCATCGATTTTTTCGTAAAAAAATGAGGTATTGGCCTTATTTTCATCATAACTCACTCAATTTTTGAGCTAGAGTATTTTTTTATGATAGATCTATTTTTGCTCTTTTTGCTAAATTTGTTATTTGAAGAAAACCGCTGAACATTGATAGGCCGTATTTCGGTTACTATTATATCGCAAAAACATTTTCAAAAATGAATTGTCTTTGTCTTTTTAAAAGCTACAAATTTGTTTTCTACAATTTTTTGATAAAATGCACCATTTTCGAGTTATTCGCGACAAATCGATTAAAAACGTCGATTTTTTCGTCTAAAAGTTGTTACTTTCAATCGCGAATAACTTGAAAAATATCAGTTTTACAAAAAAAATGTATACAACATTTTTTGTTTATAATCACTTTTTTAATCAAAACCTGTAGTTAAAACGTAAAAAAAAATTCACCCCCAGGATGGGGTGACAACCACCCCCAAGGCTTTGGCGCACTTTGATTCGATATAGTTTTTGATCCTTAGGCTATTACCTACCTTTTGTTAAAATTTCAAGTTAATCCACGCAAGACGAAAAAATTACGAGGTGAAATGCTTCATTTCCTGGACAATAAGTGGTTTGACAGCATAATAAAATCGTAGATTTATGTGTAGCTTTCAACTTTTATTAGTTCAGAATCCAGCAGCCCGCAGAACTATTGAGTTTTTATAATATAATTATTTGACAACCTTTTGTTGGCCAACCTCCTACAGCAGAAATGAGCCGAAATACATGATGTTTCCTATGTTCGGAATTTATTTCGTTCAATCTGTATAACCGCTGTTCTATAAAACAGGTCATTCACGTTCCGATGTTTAGTCCGACTAGTGGTCTAACTTCCGCATTTGGATCTGAAATCGGACCGTGGTGGGCTTCGTTGGACGAACTGGGAACGTGAAGTTGGAAGTCGGATCACAGTTCAGATTGAAAATTTCCTTAGTCAGTTGACCATTGGCACCTGTTACGTATCAGATTTCTATGAATTGCTCTAGGCAATGATCCCTATTTCGCAAATATTTAATAAAAATAAACTTTCCATTCACCAAAAATTACCCCTATTAAAATACACGATCCTTCATCAGCTAGTTTTTGTTATGGAAAATCATTTGCCTTTCTATAGATCTATCTCGGACACTACCACACAAGTACAATTTCCAACACTCTGGATTGGCTACAGAAGAATTATTAACAAACAACGAAAATTAAATCATAGTTGAACTGAAATTAGAAGTAACTGTTTCTTTATATTATTCTGAAGTTATTTTTTTGTGGCATCTTATGCAGATTTACTATTTTAATTGGAAATAAGCCTGAATATTATTTAGAAATTAAATTTATTTTATGTTTTGACTTTAACTTTTGGATTCCAGAATGTAGCTTCCACTATTTTTTAAATAATTGTAAACTGTTTGTCCTTGTTTAGTGTTGTGTTATGTTCAATTGCATGTCTAATTTTAAGTCTATGATATTCTGCATTTGTTGGATAGCCCAAAATTTGACGAAATGCCTCTGAAGATGCTCTAGGAAGCGAAAGTAGTTGGGCAAGATTTAATTAATAAAACAGTGCTCGATATCTGCCTTTCATTTTATCAAAGTTCATTTATTCGAGCATTCAACCTTATATCAATAAAAAATTAAGACAAACTAAATTTCTGAATGTCCTTTCACATTTTTTTACATTTATTAAAATATTATTTGGAAACAACTATTGAAACTATTTTTAACCACACCTAGCTTACTTTACCATTTTATGTAGAGTTTCAATAATAATATTATTAATATTATATGATTATATATACTGCTTGATCAGTACCTACTTAGAAAGTAAATAAATTTATTAATGACAATAAATCATTTACCTGGTCTTTAGGCAATCTAAACAACTATATTTCTTGACCCATCTTAGATGAACACCCTTCACAAATACACGTGTTGTAACAAAATTATTTTGCCTACCTTAGGGTGAGATCATGGGAGTAGAACATTGGGGACAGAAATTATGGGGGTGGAGATAGGGCAAGCAAAATAATCGAAACATATGCGAACGGCACTCAGGTTTTGTTAGGAGAGCTGGGGTCGTGGATAAGTAAATGGCAAAGGGGTTGAATTGGGGCAACTACAGAAAAATGAAACAAAGGGTCATGAATCTCTTGGGACAAACAAAACAAAAGGAAACAGGAAACACCTCTAGTAATTTAAAAAGGACGCCACTTCGAGGTGCCTAATTATAACTATTACAACAGCTAGTTGTAACTAGGGAAATAATTATTAGAAAAGCAAAAAATATCTTTTCAAAGACTCAAAAAGGTTAGTTAAAAAATAAACAAAATGTTAAGAAAAAAATTTAACATTTATTGTGTCTTACCACAAACAGTTACAAAAATAAGACAATGCAAAAATATATCAATAGCCGCAAAATACAAAAAAAAACTTACATGTCATCCATTTACAAACTCTAGGAGTTGGAGATACTACAAAAGCTTACAAATGTTACCGCATAGAGGTTAACACTTTTATAAAACAAACAAAAAAAATTAATATCGAAAATAATAAAGCGAGCTGTCTTATGTTATCATTAAAGTTTAAGTATACGAACAATTAAATTGACAGCTAAACTCAAAACCTAAAATTTACAATTTTTAAATGTTACAATTTTTAAATTTTAACGAAAGCAATTATTATTTAAAAAAAATTGTCTGTCTTTACTTTAAAATTTGAAACAAAAATTACCTGGATTTTTCACTAAAAAACTTTGAATTTTCTGTAACTGGACGTCACTGGTATTTCTGGAACTATAACTGGGGTAGACCTGGGCTTCACTCTCTGTGCAACGAACACACGAACAAATCCATCTCCATACTGCCAAAAAGCCTGGGATGACAACCAGGGAGAAACAAAACGAGGATGGAAACGACTATTTTTCCAATCCTCACTTAATAATTTAACTGAACCATTAACTTCACACTGCTACACATTTTCTATGAAAAGGGGCAAAAACAGAAAACTTTACAAATTCGACATGAATTTGGACATAACGCTGAACCGCTCTTGATCGCGGCTCCAACGAGAGTGATGACAATTATCTTTAAAATTAATTCACATAGTTAGAATAAAAAGACTGATAAACAAAACACAACGAAAATTAAGACGTAAATTATTAATTTGAAAACGCAATATCGGGCAGTTCGAATAAAACATTAAAGAAATACCGAGAAAGTACACATCTGTAAAATAATAAACAACTCTAAAATGGTTTATATTAACTCGTGCCGACCTAAGAAGAAATTGAAATGTATTTGGATTTTGTACGATTATGAAATGAAATACACTAAAATCAACACTCGTTTAACATTTAACATTTAACACATTTTATTTAAAAATAACGGAATGAAATATTAGAAAACAATAGCATCGAGGAAAGCTGCGAAAAAACCAAAAATAATATAGCTATCGCAGCAACAGAATCACTTGGAGAGACGGAAGTAACATATCAAAAAAGAAAACACTATCTTTTAAAGACAAAGTGAAGACAAAATGTGAAGAAAAGAAGAAAGACTTTTTACAATACAGAACACAACAAACACAACAGAACAGGCATAAAACCACTATAAACGAATCATAAATGAAGCGAATACTTTAATTAGACAAATAAAAAAGAAAAACTGGTAGAGTTTCTAAAAACAGATGAAACGCGACTTCTACGAAACACAAAAAGAAATTTTTTTTTTTTATGGCATTGACATTAGTCATTCAGCCAGTTGCAATAGATTCTCCAATCAGACAAATGCACAACTCTATCCCTAATCGAAAAAACTAACGGATAATTAATAGAAGAATATACGACAAGGAAACTTACAGGGTCACTTGCTTCTCGTCTAGGGGCCCATCAAGACATTCTTAGTAGACAAACAAAACTGGACCACGGATAAGGTGTTATAACATTTAGGGTAAACAAAGGATACAAATCTAAATTTCCACACGATCATGAAAAATTTCATGCTCGAGTACAAATTCTATAGAACCATGCATGTGTCTGACAAGAAATCTATAATGATATTATATATATTTTGTGAGCCTGTCGCCAGTAGCGACTGAATATTGAATGGTGCATACATATTAAATTCGATTAATTTTTTGTAGAGAGAGTTTGAATGCTGTTGAAACTTAGGGCATTCAAAAAAGATGTGATCAAGATCACCCAGTTTTCCGCAATGTTTGCAATTATCATCTTCAATCACATTTATTTTATATAAATGACTTGGATAACACGCATGTCCAAAGCGTAGTCTATTTATGGTGGTTATATATTTACGTGGAGATTTAAAATTCTTAAACCAAGTAGTTTGTGGAATAACTGGTTGTAAAGTGGTGTATCTTGTTTGGTTTGTAAGGCAGTAAAGATTCCATTGATCTTTCCATGTCGCTAGCTGGTTTTTTTTAAATATCCTAATGGCATCTGATACACATAAAGAATATGGCAATAAAGTGCCTGATATTATACTGGTTTTAGCTAAGTAATCTACATATTCATTATCTTTGAGTCCAATATGTGCCTTAACCCAAATAAATTTTATATTAAAGCCAGAGTCTACTAAGTGCTTTAATTGATCTTTTATTAGAAAAATATAAGGATTACTAAATGTTTTGGGCAAAAAAGTGTTTTTTATGTTCTGTAGAACTGAAAGGCAGTCTGAAAGAATTAACGATTTTTTAATATTAGAGTTTTTAACATATTTCAAAGCTTCGAGTATAGCCAATGATTCCGCCGAGAAAATTGAAAACTCCTTGGAAAGTTTGTACTTAAATTCAGAACCTCCTGAGGGTAGAAAATAGGCACAGCCAGTCCCTTCTATTGATTTGGATGCGTCCGTGTATATAACTGTGGCATCACTATAACAGTTCAAAACAGATCTCAGAATATTGTTGCTCAATTTGTTGTTGTGACTATATGTGGGTATTATAACTTCAGCTTTATGGAAGAGAGCAAAGAAGTCTAAATTTTTTTCCACTTTGGCCAAATTTTTTGAAAAAATTGAATTGTTCTGTAAAGCAGTGCACAAAGGTGGAGACGGCTTCTTAATCCAATATTTATGAGTGAGATCTGATTCGTTAAGTTGACGTATACTGGAAAATAATTTGGGATATGTTGAGTGGGCTTTGAGTACCCATTTTTCGCTTAACAAATTTCTTCTAATCGAAAGAGGAGGTTCATAAGCTTCAACATGTAGTGGTTGTATAGGGGTAGATCTCATAGCACCTAAACAGACCCTTAAGACAGAATTTTGAAAAATGTCAATTTTTCTTAGAAGATTTCTAGATGCAGAACCGTAAAGAGTAGCGCCATAATCTATAATGGATCGTATATAAGCTCTGTAAAACAATAAGGATGTTTCAACATCGCAACCCCACCACACTTTGGTTGTCATTCTAAGAAAATTACTAGCTTTATTGCATCTATCCAGCATATATTGTATGTGTTGTTTCCAAGTCAATTTTTTATCCAGTATAAGGCCCAGATATTTGATATGGTTTTTGAATGTAAAAGATTGATTATCAAGAAGTATATTTTGATTTGGAGGAAGGTTGTGTCTTGTGAAGACAGATACTGCTGATTTGTCAATTGATAAATTTAAGCCGTTCTCTAAGTACCATGGGAAAAGAGAACTACATACTCTATCTAGGTTTTGCATACCGTTTTCATATTTCTTACTTTCTGTATAGATACAAAAGTCATCTGCATATTGTATTATTTTAAATGGGATGTTGTTTATTTGCATATTATGTATGTCAGAAGTGTACATATTAAATAAAATTGGCGATAATACCGAGCCTTGTGGTATGCCGTGATAGTTGTGTCTAGGTCCTATTAGCTTGTTATTATGGTCTCTGACGTAGATTACCCTGTCTGTATAGAAACCGATAATTGTGTTAACGAAAGCAATTGGCAAATGAAAGAAATTTACCATTTTGAATTTCAATATTGACAAACAAACTGATTCATATGCTCCTTCAATATCCAAGAATAGGGCTGCTAAATAGTTATTCCTAGTTAAGTTGTTCTGTACATCAACAACAAGTGTTGTTAAAGCGTCTTGAGTTCCAAAACCTCTTTTGTAGCCAAACTGGTTTACTGGTAATAAATTCTCTTTTTGTATCCACCAATCTAATCTAAATTTTATAAGCCTTTCTAGGGTTTTGAATACGCACGAGAGTAAGGATATTGGTCTATATGAACTCACAATATTTGGATCCTTTCCGGGTTTAAGGATAGGAACGACTAAGATATTTTTGAAGGACTCGATAACTATGTTATTTTGGATGATATCATTGAAGATATGTAAAAGATGGTTTTTTGCAACCGTTGGTAGGTTGATTAACATGGGGTATTTTACATGATCGATTCCAGGAGAAGTATTAATGTGGTTTTTAAGGGCGAAGTCTAGTTCAGTTTTAGTAAAAGGTTTTAATAGAAAGTGATTATTTGAATTATGACTTTGTGTAGGCTGTGTAGGCGAATGTTGAACCCATGGAGGAGATACTCTATTAAAGAAGTCTTCTAATAAAGTATCATTGAAGGGTTTTACACTATTATGTGATTTTCGGTTCATTTTGTTAGCTTGAGACCATATTTCTTTATATATATAATGGCTATACACCCCAGCGTGGGGTTAAACCGCAAATGCTTTCTAGATCCTATTTCTTAAGTGGATCAGTCTTTTTTTGTTTATCTTATCTTCTTGACAATATCTCTCCATTTTTTCCTGTCTCTAGTTTTTCCTCTCCATTCACTGACTCCTGCCCTTTGGAGGTCTTCTTCAACTTCTTGCAGCCACTTTGATCTCGGTCTTCCCCTTCTCTTTCTTCCTCCTGGATTCCATTCTATCATTGCGTATGTCACTGCCTCATCGCCTGCTCGCCAAATGTGACCTAACCATCTAACTCTGCATTGCTTTATTTTAGTTACGATGTCTTCCTTAAGTTCTTCCTTAATTTCTGCATTTGTTCTGCTTCTATATTCATTTTGCTCTGTTCTGATTGGTCCTAGTATGGTTCTCATAATCTTTCTCTCTGCAATTCTTAAGTCTTCTTCATCTTTTTTAACCATCGTCATTGTTTCCCCTGCATATAATAATATTGGTCTAATTATGGTGTTATAAATGCTCATCTTGCTTTTTTTAGTCAGTGTTTTGCTTTTAAGTAATCTTTTGTTTGCAAAATAAGCTTTATTCGCTGCTAATATTTTTTCTTTTATTTCGGATTTCCTTTCTCCGGATTTACTTATTGTAACTCCTAGGTATTTGAAGTATTCTACTTCTTCAAACTCGGAACTTCCTATTTTGATCTTTTCCTTTATTGGTTTTTTCCCTAATCTTAATATTTTTGTCTTTTCTTGATTTAATCTTAGCCCCATTACCTCCCCTTTCTCTCTTATTTCTTCAAGCATTTCTTTCATTATTTTTCTGTTCTTTGCAATAATAGCAATATCATCTGCATATGCAATTATTTGACCACCTCTTGTTCTGAGATTTCCTTTATTTATATTTCGCAGTACATATTCTAATGCTAGATTAAATAGCGTTGTTGATAAGGCATCTCCTTGTTTCATCCCTTTATTTATACTGAATTCCTCTGTCTCTCCTCTTTGTGTCTTTATGCTTATTTTTGTAGTTCTCATTGTCATTTCTATTAATTTTCTGAGTTTATGTGGAATTTTTAATTTTTTAAGTGCTGTCATTAATACGTTCCTTTTAATAGAATCAAATGCCTGTTTGAAGTCTATGAATAACATTTCTTTATCACATATTTCTTTAGAAGAAGTATTTTTGCTTAAATTAGAACACCATTTAATCCAACTAGCTTTGGCTTTTTGTTTCAGCTGCTTTTTAGTATGAGCAGTAATTTTCTGACATTTTAGATAATTATCAAGGCTTGGTGAACGTTTATAAACTGCTAATGCTTCTTTTCTGTTATTAATTATCAGATCACATTCTGGGTCCCACCATGGCGGAGGGGATCGATTTTTGGATTTAAAAATTTTATATTGAGGAATAGATTTAATAGCAGCATGATTAATGCAATCTATTAGAAAGTTATAATTTTCATAAGTATTAAGATAGTTACTTTTATTAGAAAACATGTTTTCAATTAAAGATGTATACAGCGGCCAATTGGCCTTTTTGATGTTCCACTTGCTTTTTGGGTGTATTGTTTCCTGCGATGTGTAGGTTATTGAAAAATTCATAGTTATTGCAAAATGATTGGAGCCTAAGGTGTCAGATAAAACTGACCAGGTGATTTTACTAGCTATATTAGCTGTGCAAAGTGATATGTCAATCATCGATTTTTCGGTACCATATCTAGGAAGATAGGTAGCTTCACCATTATTTAAAATTACCAGATCTAGATCCTCGACACTACTAACAATTTGTTGACCAACTGCATCATTATGTAATGAGCCCCATAGTGAATTATGAGCATTCATATCTCCTCCTATTATAAAAGGTGATTTGACTTGTGAGAAAATATTTATCCAATCATTTTTGGAAGTACGAATTTTAGGTGGTCTATATATAGATAGAAAACTTAATTCTGTTGTATTAATTTTAACGGTAGCACCGCAGACTAAAATTTCATCGTTAAAATTGTTTCTAATATTTATTTGACAAAATGGTATGGTTGTTTTAATTAAGATTGCAACACCTGCGTACCCGTCATATCTATCTTGGCGAATTACATTGTAATCTTTAAATATATAATTCTGATTTGGTTTGAACCAAGTTTCGCTTAATAAGGCAATGTCAATATTTTCAGTTGTTAAAAAATGAACTAAGCTGTTTTTATTCGAAACAACGGATCGAGCGTTCCATTGCAAAATTTTTAATGATTTAAGTTCTGTGAAGATGTTATTTATTGATAATATCCTCCAAAATTGTTTTTATTCCATGGTAAATACTATCTTGACTTATTGTTTTTATATCATCTACAGTTTGGATATTTGTGATTAAATTAAAAATGTAATTGGAAATAAGTGTTTGAAGATCTGCCTGACTTTGTTTATTTTGAGAATTAGGGATGTTTAAATTAGCAGGAAGGGGTTTAGAGGGCCCAAAATTAAAAGGAAACATAGGTGTAGTATGGGGGGACTGGGGGGTAGGAGAGATTAATTTTCGTTTTTTCGCTATGCTATAGCGACTTGAGGAGGGTTGTGATGTGTTATTTGATGATAAGTTTTGGTTTCTACGCGTAATTACTTGTGTGGCAGCAGAATGGGTTGAATTTTTTGTGAATGTTGGCAGGGGAGGAAAACTGTTTCCGTTATTTTCTAGTGTGGAATATCTATTCTGAGTGAATAATCCCGAAAAGGATGATTCACAATAAGTTTTTGCCTCGATGAAAGAAGTTTTTTGCTCAATCATAACGGTTTTGATCTTCTTCTGCAGTTCATACTTTGGACATTTCTTGGAAATGGATACATGATCCTTACTATTGCAATGGATGCACTGAATAGCATTATCCTGGCAAGCATGACCTTCATTTTTGGTTTTTCCGCATTTTATGCAATGTGCCTCTGTACTCCGACACTGCTTGGAGATATGTCCAAATCTCAAACAATTATAACACTGAGTAACCTTGCCAATATAGGTTTCCACAGGAAAAAATACACTATTTATTGCAATATAGCTAGGTAACATATTTCCCTCAAAGGTGACTATTACAGTCCTCTTCGGTACATAGTTAGTTTTTCCTTCCGTATCAACCCTTCTAAAAGTTCGTTTGTAACCTAATATGGGGGAGGGAGATTCACTGTTATCTAATAAATAATTTTCATCGTATTGGGTATCAACATCTCTGATTAGACCTTTGATTTCTAGTAGATGATTAGGAATGTAAGCTACCAAATTTTCATTTTTTAACTTTAAATTTTTAACCAAATTATTTGCATCAGAAATTGACCTTAACAAAACTTTAATTCTGTTTTTTCCAATGCCTTTAATTTCAATAATATTAGGAATATTCAATTTTTTATGCAAAATATGCGCAACTGTTAAAGGATGTAGACGACCTATATTTTCATTGTTTGTTTTTTCTATGTAAACATAAACATTATTAAAATTGTACTTATCTGATTTAATGTTGAAAAATTTCTTAGCTACTGTTTTTTGCGCTTCAGGTTCTGGCAAGATTGTAGTACAGTCACTGGTTTTATTCGCATTTTTCGCTGTCAAATCATCAAAATTTTCGATTAAACTGGATTCATTAATAGGCATTTCACTATTCTCACTAACACATGAAAAGTTTAAATCACCTATTGGCGTCTCTGGGGAAATTGCCTCCCCCATTGGGGAGTCATTTATATACTTATTTATTACACTGAGTTAATGTCAAACTTCGAATCACCTGTACTAATTTAAAATCGAGTTAATTAGTAGAAAAAGACACTGGGCACTGATGATTTACGACCTATCGCTTTGAAAGTTCGAATAATACTGCAAAAAGAAATATGGATAATGCTCAGAGGACACAGAAAATATATGAACTAACTAATAAAAACGAAACACATTCAGAAGGAAACATGGGTCGACTACTTTCGATCCATATTTGCTAAAGGTAACGATAATGAACCACCAGAGGTGAGGACAAACAAAGAAATAAATAATGAGGAGGAAGAGGTAAAGGAAGCATTAAGAAAATTAAAAATAGAGAATCACCAGGAAGGGACAGAATAAGAGGACCAGATCTAACCAAACAACTATTAAAACTAATCCAAAAAATAATAAAACAAACCAAAATTCCTCAAGAATGGAGATCAAGTATCCTAATAACTTTCTTCAAAAAGGGAGACAAATCGAACTCGGAAAATTGCAGAGATATTAATTTATTAAACACAACACTACAACTAACAACCAAAGTGTTAACAAATAAATTGCATGAAATGATAACATTAGCAGAAGGACAACAAGGTTTTAGGTCAGTTATGTTATTACCTGTAGATTTATTGATCGAACATGACACATACTTACACGCATACACCTATACACCCAAACACAAAATAGAAATACACACACAACTATACCATGCTTAACCGGCAAATCAGCAGACAGTTGTACCACAACTGACTCACCATATAGTGAGATTTGTGCTGCGAGTACTAATCTCGTCAATCCCGTTGTGTACCACGATCGGACCTAGATAATGAATGACACAGGAAAGAAAAATGTTGCTTAAGTGATCCCTCAGAGAGCTGGTATACTCTAAAGGATTGTAGCCTCGGCACGATAAGGTCCCGATGCTGTACCTTTTGTCCCAAATTGTGGAAATGAAATACACATAAAAATCAAAACAAACAGAAATGATCAAGAAAATGACACAAAAATAAGTAACTTTTTTGAGTCTACAAAAAAATAGAAAGAGAAGGGACACAGGGGCGACCTTGGTCGCTTCTATGCTGGTTGTCTCATTATTTTGCCCCAAATAAGTCCCAATGACATCAAACAAATTCTTATAGGCGCGACTCCAGCACAGTAAGGCAGCTTACAATATTTACTGCTACTATGAGAAGGTTCTATGTCGCCTGGTTACAAGATCCCTGTGTATATTAAAGCCAAATAAAAGGTCCATTCGGCGTTAGCGGAGAGCTAATATAGCAGATCTCTCAAACTGACGAAGACTTTTGTAACAAGTTGTACTTAAAACCAATGAACTACAATACCAGTGTTATATCACAAACTACTTTCAGAGAGGGAACAAAAGAAAACAAGAACATTAATGAAATTATGTAAAATAACGGGGGGAACTCCCTCTACGGGAACGAGGGGAGGAATTCCTTCCTCTCGGGGGAACCTGTAACCCTAGAGAGCGCGTCCCCAGATGGCGGATAGGGGAATGCCCTCACCGGCCTGTTTGCAGCTAGGCCGGCGGGTAGGTGGGAAATAAAATACCACCCGCGGACCAACAGGTGGGGTAGATAGGACTCCTAAGCCGTAGAGAAGGCAACTTATCTAAGAGAAGGATACTCTGATTTAAAACCCTGGTCCTCCAAGTTGGGGGTTGAGGCATCGGGCCAACTCCTCGATACTCGGAAAAAATGATCAAAGTTAAAAATTTCAGCAAAAAGCCTTGGAATTCGGACGGATTAAACTATAAACGAAATTCGCAAAGAAAATGGATTATGAATTTGGGTGCTTGGAACATACAAGGAATAAGGACAAAACAGGAGGAGGTCTTCCGTGAACTGAGTAAAATGAAACTAGACATCTGTGTATTAACTGAAGTAAAGAAAAAAGGAAGAGGAAATGAAAAGATAAACGAATACCTGCATTTCTATAGTGGCGTAGAAAAGAGCGAACGAGCTAAAAGAGGAGTGTCTATAGCAATACATCAGAAACTGAAAAAATGTATTAAATCATGGCAAGAAATAGATGAAAGAATTATCCTCATGGAAATTAAGAAAAATGGCCATGAAATAGTGGTAATTGGAACATATGCACCGACGGATGACTCAAGGGTTGACAGCAAGGAAGAGTACTTTAACAAGTTAACAACTGTTCTAGCCACAATTAATAAGAAGAAAGAAATTTGGATCTTAGGTGATCTTAATGCAAGAACCGGAAAGAGCTCCAACAGTGAAATAATAGGGAGATATGGAGAAGACATTCTGAACGACAATGGTCAAAGATTAATAGATTTTTGCGAGGCACATTCTTTGAAAATATTAAATGGTTTCTTCCCCCATAAGAATATACATAAATTTACATGGACGCAGCCTACCAGGAATTTAAAATCAATAATTGACTATTTCATTCATCGTAAAGATTCTAAACTAAAAACGAAGGACGTGAAGGTGTTTAGAGGGCCAGAATGTGGAAGTGACCACCATATGATTATTGCAAAAGTAATGGTGACATTTAAGAGAGAACAATCAAGTCACAAAAATGATGAAGTAACAGACATAGGAACAACCATAGAAAACATAAAATATAACCTGGAAAGCTTTAAACAAGATTCGACAAAGTTCTTATATAAAATTAGAATAGCTCAGAAAATAAAAAATATAGAAACAAAGGACTTAGACCCCGAAAGTCTGTATGAGGTAATTAAAAAATATATTCATGAAGCGGCAAATGAAGCACTGGGAAAAGTTGAAAATCGGAAAAAAGGAAAACCTGAATGGTTGTCAACGGAACTAGAAGAGAAAGTTCTCAAGAAAAAACAAGCATATCACATATGGCTTCAATCCAAAGATCCTCAAGACAGAGAAATATACGCTAAATGGAATAGAGAAGTTAAAAAAGACGTGGATAAGGCGAAAAATATAAACTGGGAGGCTAAGTGTGATGAACTGGACAGATTTATGGGTGGAACAAAAGTGGCGCAAGCTTGGAAAACATTAAAACAGTTTAGGAAAAATGAGAAAAATGAAGACAACATTTCTCTCATAAAGTTAAATGAATGGGAAGAATATTATACGAAACTGCTGAAAGAGGATAGAGTAGAGTACAGATGGGAAAAGATAAGGGAATTAATAGACAACAGAGACGAAAGACAGGAAATCCCTATAATAACATTATCTGAATTGACGGAAACCTTAAAAGAGGTTAAAAACGGAAAAGCCGCAGGGCCTGGAGACATTCCCATAGAGCTGGTTAAATATGGGCCGACTGCACTTTTAGAATTAATAGTAGACCTTTTCAATAAATGTATGTGTGGAGACCAGGAAATTCCTAAAGATTGGAATAAATCTTATATAAGCTCCATATATAAGAGAGGGAATAAAAGAGACTGTTCCAATTATAGAGGTATTAGTGTGACGAGCTCTGTGGGCCGGTTGTACGGCAGAATATTAAAGAAGAGGGTTGAAAGACAGATACAAGATATTGAAGAACAAAGCGGCTTTCGTACCGGGAGATCCTGCCTTGATAATATATTTATCCTACGACAAATAATTGAAAAGCGTGTCGAAAGAAGTAGAGAGACCCATTTGGTATTTATAGACCTTGAGAAAGCATATGATAGTGTCCCGTTAAAGAAAATGTTTGAGGTCCTCAAAAGGTCCGGATTGGATTCGACGTATATCCGAGCGATATATAAATTGTACGAAAATGCAGTTAGTTGTGTAAAAATTGGAACCAGAACCTCAAATGAATTTAAAGTCACTAAAGGCCTAAAGCAAGGATGCTGTTTGTCACCGACACTCTTTAAAATATACGTCCAAGAAGCATTGAGGAATTGGAGAAATAAATGTAGATTTATGGGCATCGAAGTGGGACAAGAAACTCTGTATACATTGTTGTTTGCAGATGATCAGGTGGTGGTTGCAACCGATGAGGAAGATATAATTAATATGAATCGAAAATTATTTGAGGAATATGCCAAATGGGGCTTACTGTAAACATAAGCAAAACAGAATATTTAAAAATTGGAGGAAATACCACAGATCTGAGGCTTGAAAACGCAGTCATAAAAGGCTGCAACCAGTATAAATATCTAGGAAGCATCATATCAGCAGATGGCAGAGTTAAGATAGATGTACAAAACCGAATAACCCAAGGGAAAAAATGCATCCGAATACTGAATTCATTACTGTGGTCTAATAAAATAAAGATGCATACCAAACTTCGCGTATACAGAGCAATTGTAGAACCAATTACCACATATGGTGCCGAATGTTGGACGATGACAAAGAATGAACGAGATAAAGTAGACGTTGTGGAAATGGATTATCTTAGAAGGTCATGTCGAGTATCGAGAATGGAAAGAATCAGGAATGAGGAAATACTAAACCGTACAGGAATTAGAGATACTCTTGCAGATAGAATACAAGGAAGGTAATTACAATGGTATGGTCACGTGATGAGAATCTAGGAGGAGCGGTGGCCAAAGAAAGCCTTAATGTATGTTCCGCCAGAAAGAAGGAAAAGGGGAAGACCACCAAATTCCTGGAGAAGAGAAATTACAAAAACAATGCAATCTAGAGGCTTAGAAGAGGGAGATTGGAGAGATAGGAAAAGATGGAGGCTGAAATGTGGGAAGCGGCAATCGCCGTAGGACCCCCGTTATATGATGATGATGTAAAATAACGATAGTAAAATATACGCTTATGGAGAAAAATATGAATATTTTAAAATTATCGTCAATATGTTCAATATGATGGATTCATGTTATCGAAACTCTTTTTCTGAAAATAAAACTTTGTTTAACACTTTTAAGTGATAGCCCGAAGATGAAGCCCGAAAAGTGTATAATTAAAAAAGATTTAGCACTAAAATGTCTTTTGGAATGGAAACAAAAAATAGCTTGAAACTAAGTATTACTTAAGACGTCATATTTTATTATTGTGTTTAAATTGAACAAAATTAATAGAAAGTATTTCCTCCTATAGTGTTGATTACTGGTTGTAAGCGTCTTGGAATACTGTGAATTAAATTTTAGATATAGGCCTAAGTAATTGCATTCCATTCTTGTTGTTCAATTATATAGAAACAGGATTTCTTTTCCTAATTCGATATTTTAAAGTGTCCCACAATTCCCCTGTCGTCGTTCGTGCAGTAAAGAGCTACTTATTGCCAACGGAGAAAAGAGGTGCGTGTTTGTGCCAAATAGAACAGGAGAAAACCTATCCTTGTAAATTTTACACTTATTTTGAGCATTGTATTTTGTTATATTATTTTGAATTTTAGTTTGATAAAAATAATTTTTTATTAATTTTTTTGTGACCAAAAATTTGACTTTTCTGACTGATTCTTTATGAGTAAGGTGAAGGGAGTTACCCCCTGATCCTAATGTTAATAACAAATTAAATTTAATTGTTAATATTTATTCTGAAAAAGATGTTGGCCCTTTTGGTCCTTTTAGTAATATAAAAATGGCGAGAAATATTTTTAATTTAAAATTAAATAATACTAATAAAATTCGAAGTAAAGGTTCAAACAGAATTTCTGTAAAATTTAATAATTATTAATCTGCAAGTACATTCCTAAGTAACAAAAATTTATTAGATCAAGGTCACAAAATTTATATACTTTCATAATTATATATCTGTAAAGTTACTGTACGTCAAATATATGTTGAAATAAATGAAAATAAACTCATTGAATGTTGTTTTACTAATAGCGAGATTAAAATTCTGAATGCTAACAGGCTAAACAGGAGAGTAGTCAAAGGAGATACAACTACATACGAACCTACAGGTAGAGTTTGGTTACATTCAGTGGTGTTTTAATGCCTAAAACAATAAATTTTTATGATCTACCAATATTGGTTAATGTTCACGTTCCTCGAGTAACACAATATTACAACTGTTTGAGATTTGGACACACCAAAACGAATTTTAAAGCAAAAGAAAATGTATGAATTGTGGTGAACTTAAACATACCGATTATTGCACTATGAAATGTTTTTTTTTGCAAAGGTTCACATGTTTCGACAGCGCGTACGTGTCCAGAATATTTACGTCACAAAAATATTATAGGATTCATCATCATCATCATCATCATCCAGCCTCTATTTATCACGTCCACTGCTGGACATAGGCCTCCCTTAAACTCTTCCATTCCTCACGATTTTGTGCTCTTTGTTGCCAATTTTTAGTGATACGCCTGATGTCGTCGGCCCAACGTGTAGGTGGTCTTCCTCTACTGCGTTTGTCTGCTCTTGGTCTTCAATTTGTAATTTTGCTCGTCAATCGTGAATCGTGCATTCTCGATACATGGCCTTCTTCTTCTTAAGGTTCCATCTTCTAACGAAGGTTGGATATCAACATGGCAATTCTTATTTTACTTACAGCAGCTCTAAATAGTTGGCTAGAGCTCAGAGCTAGAGCTGTAGGGCACTCTTTTGTCCTTGGGCTGAGAAATCGACCCTAAAGGCGGATGAGCCAAGTATACGGTCAACGGCATAAGGATGCAGAAGGCAAGGGAAAACCACTGCATTAAAGGTTCAAAAGAACATCCTTAGTAAGTCAATATACATGGCCTGCCCAGTTCCATTTTGGTTCCGCTATGCGTTCCACAACATCAGTAATACTTGTCCTTCTTCGCAGATCTTCGTTTCTTATTCGGTCCCTCAACGTCACTCCCAGCATATACCGTTCCATTCGTCTCTGTGCTACTCTCAGTTTCGAAGCCGTGGTCTTGGTTAAAGTCATAGTTTCCGCCCCATAAGTCATGACCGGTAATACGCATTGGTCAAACACTTTTCTTTTGAGGCTGATTGGTATGTTGGCCCTAAGTGTGTCTCGCAGTTTTCCAAAGGCTGCTCATGTTAAAGTAATTCGTCTTTGGATCTCACATGTTTGGTTATCCCTGCTGATTCTTATTTCATGACCCAAATACGTATATTTCTCCACCAGTTCTACCACTTTGTCTTGAATAGTCAAATGGTTATTGGGGACCAAATTTGTCATAAACTTAGTTTTGGTCAAGTTCATTCTCAGGCCCACCTTCGAACATGCAAAATCCAATTCGTTTAACATATCTGTAGCTTCTCCTGAATTATCTGTGATAAGGACAATGTCATCTGCGAAACGGAGATGGTTAAGCTTTTCGCCGTCTATCGTTACTCCTCTGTGGTCCCAATTGATCATCTTAAAGGCATATTCTAATGAATTAGGCATAATGCATATTCTAGGCATTAGAATATGCCTAGAATAGGATTCATATCTTATGAAAATTAACATTTTTTGAAGCTAGTTAATATATTCCCAAAAATTACATAGAAAAAGACAAATTCCTTTTTCAATTCAAAAGATTTTCCGTTCCATTCGAGTAATAGTACTAAAGTAAAACCCCTTAATAATAAAACTATTCAACACAATACCGTTTCACCATCAGAAAGAAGAACACTCAATTTCAAATCTCCGAAAAGGACATTTCAACTGGTAGTATCAAATACAAATAATAAAAGAAGAGTAATCCAATAAGGTTATGACAGCAATGCATATGATGAATGTCTTTATCTTCCAAATGGGTGACCATAGAATTAATCTTCTTTAACTGCCTCATCTTAATTTAAATCTCCAATACAAACCCAATTGTAATCAAAAATCTTGTAATTCATATAATGTAAAACCAAATTCAGCCTTAAATGCCAGTGCATCGCATAGTAATTATACTTTCTATGCAATACCTTCACTAGAGTTCCTAAAATCATGTTTAAACTTGACTAACATATTACCAGATAATTTAAATATGGTTAAAAAAGTTTTACTTTTCCATTCTAACCTTAGGTCTTGTATGGACTTGGACAAGTATTCAGATAGTGATTAATAGGTTAAAACTAAGAATGATCCTAGAATCAAAAACAAAAATCATTCAATGGAACATCAGAAGTGTCAATTCAAATATAAATACTCTGACAGATTTAGCCTTTAAAGTAGGCCCAGATATAGTAGTTATTAATGAAACTTGGCTTAAAGAAGATTTCAATTTTACTCTGAAAAGTTATCACATTATTAAACAAGATATTGATGATGGCTATGGTGGGGCAGCTACCCGTATTAAATAACAGTGACTTTTTGGGCCGTCTGTAGCAACTTAGGGTTTATCCCAGGGTTCACCTTTAAGCACAATTTTATTTAATATATACCTGTGGCTATTTGCCAAAACTTGATATGTCAAATAGAACAAGTTTTCAGTAGAGCGAAATTAAAAATATATAACCTCATGACAATTTGTTTTTATTTTTTACTCGCTCAAATTTTATTAGATTTTTATGAAATTTCGTATATAAATAAATAAAATGCTGCTTAAACTAACAGTGTACACTAATTTTGGAAATTCTATTGTGAAAAATGATTTTACTAACATATCATGTTTTGGCAAATATCTTAGATGGCATATATAGACATATCATGTCAAAGTGAAGTATATAAAATACGTGAATATCATAATTACAAAGTAGAAAGTGAAAAAATTTATACTGAAATTAAAACTTGATATTTAATAAAGATGGTTACTTTTAATCAATTTATAAAATAATGTAAAATTCACCAATTTATTGAATATCTAAATTTAAACTTCAGTATAAATCTCTTTGAAATGAGTAATAACAATTAGCAAAATTATTTTTATTGTTCACTGTTATCAATCTACATAAAAAGCAATGTTTATCGTTTAAAAATACTCATTCTCACTAGTCTTAAGTCCGTGGTAAAATGGATGGTACACTGGATCAAGGTATGCAGTAGGAAAAGCAAGTCTTCCTTTTTTTGATGTTTTATGGGTTTAGGTCCACTATAATCACAATCAATCACAAACGACATCTATGGCGAAAATTTATACACACCGGGCTTCTTAGTGACTTCCAAAGCCACCGCAGATTTTTAAATAACTTAAAAACATCTCTAAAAACCCTAAGACAAAATTTTGAAGCAAACGTTATTGAAAGTGGTAACATTAAAAAAGTCTATAAATACATACGTTCCTCCATGACATCTAAAGTTTCCATTCCGCTACTTCAAAAATCCAACCAGACTTTATGCTCTTCTGACAAAGAATCTTCCGAAACTCTCTCTTTAGCATTTTCACAGGTATTTACTAAAGAATTAAATGATGGTAATCTACCTGCTGTTAACTGTAATCGTGTCGGCGCATCCTTACAGCAAGTTGAATTCACAGTGGATCATGTCAAACAACACTTAATTAAACTTCGCACGGCCGCTTCACCTGGTTTAGATGGTTTAACACCAAAACTGTTAAAAAGGTGCGCAGACACGCTTGCAATACCCTTAACGTTAATTATGCAAACCTCTTTCATCCAAAACTCCTTACCCCCTAGTTGGAAATTAGCTTCCGTTACCCCTATTTTTAAAAAAGGCAACAAACTCGACCCCAACAATTATCGTCCGATTAGCTTGCTGCCAGTAGTTGCCAAAGTTATGGAAGCCATTATTTCCGAGGAGATGACCAAATTCCTTCTCCAGGAACATGTTATTCCAACACAACAACATGGATTTGTCTCTGGTCGCTCTACTCTAACTAATCTCCTACACTGTGTTAACGACTGGACCTCATCCCTTAACAGTTCGCAGCCGGTCGACGTTGTTTATCTAGATTTTTCTAAAGCCTTTGACCGTGTACCTAAGCGCAGACTTCTACATAAGCTAGAACATTTCGGAGTTCGCGGTACTTTACTTCGTTGGATAGATGATTTCCTGACAGATCGATATTACAAAGTTAGAGTTGGCGAATCTTTCTCACAGGACAGGTTAGTGGAAAGTGGAGTGCCTCAGGGTTCTGTCCTTGGACCTCTGCTTTTTACGGTTTACACCAGCGATATTCCTTATTATGTCTCAAGTAAAATATCGTTTTACGCTGACGACACAAAAATATATGCCAATCCAAACACAAACCAGCTAACCCTCCAAATGGACTTGGACTCTATTTTAACTTGGTGTTCCCAGTGGTTACTACCCTTAAACGCGGAAAAATGTGTAGTGCTTCGAATTGGCAAAAATAACCCACTTGTGCCGTACTTTGTTAACGGGCAGCCATTAGAATCTGTGTTTTCGTATAACGATCTTGGTGTTATTGTGAACAGCAGCCTAACTTGGTCCGATCATATTACCTCTATTTGTAAACGTGCAAACTCCAGACTGTATCTTATTCGGAGGTGTTTTTCGGGAGTTTCAATGCAATTATTTTGCAAACTTTACACTTTGTACGTAAGACCCATACTTGAATACGCTGGACCAACGTGGTATCCCGATCTGGTTCGAGACAAGACTCTGTTGGAAAACGTTCAAAGAAAAGCCACTCGAATTTCTTTGGGACCGAGAAGACCGTCTTATGCAGAAAGACTTAGTATGGCAAACCTCACTACGTTTGAACTTCGCCGACAACGTGGAGACTTAATTACAACATTCAAAATACTAAAATTCAATTTTGGAAACCTCGAGGAAATATTTATCATAAACCAAGATGAACGCCTCAGAGGTCATCAATATAAACTAAAGAAAGAAAATTTTTCTATAAGACAAAGACAGAACTTTCTTCCAAATAGAGTTTTTGAGTGCTGGAATAACCTCAACGACAACATTGTCTCCGCTTCCTCTACCAACTCGTTCAAAAACAGACTCGACAGTTTTATATTATAGTTAAAATATTGTTTTTCTTTTAAACCAAAAATTGTAATTTTATTTCTTTTAGTTGTAATTTTTGTTATTTACTAGTAGGTGATTAATGAAATTTCTTTGTTTTTGGGCATAATAGGGACTTAGTTCCTCTGCCCTCGCTTATATAATAATAATAATAATAATAATAATAATAATAATAAACAGGTTCTAATGTAGGATCCATCTGCTGCCCTCTGCGTTTAATATTAAGGGTAGAAACGTCAAGACCTTTATGTGCATATTTAATGTCTATAACACCCAACTCTTTACCAAAACGTAGAACTTTTATATCATGCCATTTCACATTTTCATTATCCACACCTTTATCACGCTTTACATAGATATTATGGAAAAGTTTTGAATACGCTAGAAAATCTTTCCTCTGCATTTCGATAACCTGGAACTTCTTCTTACCGGGGACAGTTCTAACAAACTGGTACCAGTCATGAGGTATCCTTATTTCAATTTGTGACGATTTTTTGGCACGCTCAATTCTTGCATGGTCGGCATCACATTCCATTCTAGTATGACCCACTTCTAGGAACTTGTGTTGTATTTCATTTATGGTTGTTGATCTATAAACAAATAAAGACAGTGCTCCTGCAACAATGTTATTTTTGTTTTTTTTTTTTTGTCCAGGACAAGAATCCGAATATAGAACAACTTTTTCAACTGTATCAACTAAGCTGTCAAGGTATTTTAAAAGACAAGAAGCAACTTGATCTGATCCACGGTCTGACAACCCCTGATGTCACATAAAACATGAAGTGGTAATTTCAGTGCAATTTCTGATGGTGAGGTTATATGTCCAGAGCACTCTTTTATAGTAGACTACATTTGTGCTTAAATTGGGTGTTGGTAGGTTCTGTTGTAAGTCAAATACTAAAACAACCATTTTACCGCTACTGTTTCTGGAGAACTCTATATCTGCTTTTTTTTCACCATAGGCAATCTCTGCTAGCTGAAGGTGTTTATTTTTCTCTTCATCTACGGCTGCACGTATTTCTTCACTATTAGAGGATTTTTTCTTGTTTTCTAGATAATCACAAGTCTTACATGTATCGATACTAGGATTTTTAAATTTATATCCAAGTTCTTTAAATATCTTAGCATAAAATGAATATGATACAGGCATTGTTCTGTTTGATACATAAAGATCATACATAAGTTTAATATTTAAATTGGGAGCTAAATAGAGTCGACTTGTGTGTCTTCGAGAATAGTGGCTCTCATATTTTGGAAAAGACTCTATGTGTTTTATAGCTTCAGCTTTTTCGTCTGGTCGAGCGTTATGTGGTTGGCGTTTTCCAGATCCATTAGGTTCTATAAAACCCGTGGGTGATATTTGTTTTTTTTTTATCAAAATATCAATTTTTCCTCTTGTGATACCATGTAGATTCTGGAACATGTATTTGCAAACTTTTGACGTTTTGTCGTTATATGTAATATAATAGGAAACCACAATTTGTCTGTTTTTATTATTTCCTCGTTCTCCTTTATCTTTTCTTTCTGTCTTCTTTGACTCAATCTTCACTCTTTCAGAAATTACTTGGTCTTTGTCTTGCACTTTTTTAAGAAAATCATAAAAAATTTCTTTTTGTTCATCTATGGAGAGTTTCTCGTGACATTTATTGCGACAGCAACTAGTAAGCGCTTGAAATACTTTTGCAGGTTTTTGTATACCTTTTCTTGTAATATGTTCTTCTCCTAACATCTCTTTTCTTTCATTTCTACTCTGTTATATTTAGGTTTTTTAGGTTGAACATTAGAGCTATTTATTTGGTCTTTGCCATCGTCACTTTTATTTGTAAAAGTATCATTACTTACTATATCATCCGTATTATTACTGGAAGTGGCTGTTGTTTCACACTTTTTAGATGGCACTGCTTGATATTTACCTGGCCTCTCATTGTCACTTGTGTCAGATGAAGTGTCCGAAGGAATATAATCTTCATCTACATCTGAATTATCACTATTCAAATATGACACTAATTCTTCAGAATGGCCAGTGGATGCAGAAGTTGAACTTATTTCTTTAATTTCGGCATCAACTAAACACCTTTTCAATCCTCTTATATCACTTCCCACTGATTTTTTAAAGTCCTCACTTTCAGTCTGTAATACTGTTTCTTCGAAATTTACTAAAACCGCCGAATCTTCATGTTGGCTAATAACCATATCAACTAACAGCTTTCCACGCGACATACTTTTACTAATAGTTTTCTTAAGACAACCAAAGTACCACCTTAATTTAGTAAAATGCACAACAATAAAATTAGGTTATGTTGTGGTCAGCTGGTAACCAAAACTTGATGTGTCTATAAAACATCCGTCCACATTTTAAATCTGATGATGACAAAACTTGATATGTCGACTTATCAACTTTTGGCAAATATTAAAATGAGGTAATTTAATATATCATGTTTAGTCTTTAACTTATATCTTTAATAATATTGTCCTTAGACATATCAAGTTCTGGCAAATTTAAAAATTTAAACACATATCATGGTTCGCAAAGCTGAAAACCATGATTTTTGACATATCAACTTTTGGCAAATAGCCACAGATTTATATATTTAGGTAAAATGGAAAAAAGATTCAATATGTATTACATATTGGATCTTTTTTAAATTTTACCTAAATATATAAATATTAATGAATACGCTGACGATTTGGTTTTATATGTTAAAGGATCAGTTATCCAACAAATTGTTAATAAAGTTAATATGGCATTGTACAATATACAAGAATCGTTGTTAAAACATGACCTATCTCTTTCTATAGACAAATGTGAAGCTGTATGATTTTCGAAGGGAAAACGCAAAATTAATACCCCAAAAATCAAACCTAGTAATACAATTATACCATTAAAGATTAAGTTAAATTTTTACATGTTGATAATACTTTAGTTAAAATAAAGAAAAATATTAATATTTTACGTGCAATTTGCAAAGTATGCTGGAGTGCAGGCCCTAGGACTCTTTTAATAGTCTTTAATGCTTTAATAAGATCTCACTTAGGCTATGGTTTATTTTTATTGAGACCTATATCAAAAATGTATTAATAAACTTTACACCGTATTTTTTTAAGGCTTAAGAATTTCTTTAGGTTGTACGAAATCTATCCCTCACTTGACTTTGCTAGCAGAATCAGCGCAATATGATTTAAAACATAGAAGTGTAATATTAGCTACTAAATTTTTAAGTAAGATCGTTAATATCAGTTAATTTGTCCATTAATAGACAGATCAATAATGTTACTATCTTTTCCGATTCTCTTGCAATTTCTAAAACTAATAATAGCAATATTTCTGCTTAGGTAGATTACTAG